AGTCACTGTGGCAAAAGGATAGCGCCCTGGTTCTGCAACTTACTTACTCACTTTGTGATTTTGCCCAAGTCATACAACCTCTCTGAGTCAAGTTTTTCATGGGACAGATGGAAATAGTAATTAATTTATGAGGGATCCTCTACCTCACTAGGCTGTTAGGGACACACACAAAGTTGCTGTAGACAGCAGTATAGCCCTGAATGCAAGCAGAAGAAATTAATCATATCATGGAAAAAACCAGGCAGGGATTTGTCGAACACCTGCGAGGTACATTGCAGGACTTACAGATCCAGTCCAGTTAGGGAGGGACATTGCTAAGAATATGAGCCAAGAATGAGTCAAGAAATGAAATACTCGTTTCAAGACTTCATGTCTTGACTCATTAATTGAGCCTGAAATCAATTTTGGGTAGAATAACATAAAATCGAATCCAAAACATCAGGGTACAATTAAAAGTATACTCACCAGTACAGTGTAAGAGTAGGTAGTTTCATAAAATGCATCCCAGTATATTGAATTATATGTTTTATGTATTTGTTACATATTAAATATATTTAAATTATATGTGTTGATATCTGTATTTACAATCTCAGTATAAAATGTATTTCTTGCTGTCAGCAAAATATGAGAAATGGTGTTTTAAGTCAAGATGCAGGTCTTCAGGTCAGAGGACATTTAATGAGGCCTGTGCAGGTGTGGGAGCTGTCTGGTGGCTGAGCGCTTAACCTATAGGGGCAGGGGAGTGTATGTAGCACAAGAGACAGGAGCAGACTGCACAGTCAGGCAAATTTGGATTGGAGTCCCAGTTCTATTACTTACAGCCACGTGCTTTGGAACCATGTAGTAGTCTTACTAAGTTTTGGATTCTACTTCTGGAAAACAGAGAATGATATTATCTTAGGCAATTATGACATATAAATGAGATTAATATAAATCATTTAGGAAGAAATTGGTAAGTAGTAAATGATGTACAAATGGTAACTACCATTTACTGCTGCTATCACTGATGTTGTGGCCTTTATTGTTACATTGGGCCCTTTGAGGATTGCTGTGACCTGGAGAGAAGAAAAAGCATCCAGATAGAGATGAGTGGATGTCAAGGGATAAGCATGTGTGCCTGATATGGGCCTGGTCTGGCTGAGCAGTCTTTTTTTTTTTTTCCTTTCTTAAATATTTATTTATGCATACAAGAACTGGGGTGCAGGTCAGAGGTGCGGGGGGGTGAGAGGATTCACCAGAGACAGAAAGGAGAGAACAGGACAGGTAGATCTACTGAAATCCACTGCTGAGGGGAGCAATGGGCAAGACAGGAGAGGTCTGCTGTGCCATGTAGGTAGCTCCCTGGTCGGCTGGGGATCAAACTCGTGCTGCGGAGGCTGTGGATATCTTCACAGTTCTGTGCTTCACCCCTTGCGCCACCAGGAAAGCCCCTGGCTGAGCAGTCTTAAAAGGGGGTGTTGAAGATTACAGGTAAAAGGTACCAGGAAAATTTTGGCATTAGTGGAGACAAAAGTTTAACAATACAGAAACTTCAACAATAGGATCACTTCACCTGAAGATAATGAGGCCCCATTCTTGGAGGAGTTCCAGCAGAGGTTGGCCTGCTAGAGACTCTTCAACATTAGGCTACCTTATGGAAAGGGGTTTTCCAGAGGGTGAGTGAAGCCCTCAGTCCAAAACATACATGGGCCATTTGGTTCTGTCCATTTGGTTAGCTTCCCTGTTACTGGAAACTGGCTCATGCACTTCCTCACTGTCAGGAAGCAGCTATCTCAGGGCCTCTTCACCATCACGCTGTTTGCAGGGATGCCTCTGACCCCAAGTTCATCTCAAGGCTCCTTTCTGGGAATCCTTTGAGAGGCATTCACACTGCAGGCCATCCAATCACATAGGGAAGTTCAGGAAGACAAGGAGACTCTCCTGTTTTAGAAAGAATTCCCTATAAAACAGCAGTCTGATCAGCTGCCTTCCAAGATCCTGACTAACTAGACTAGGGGATAAGTTAACATTTTGATTTTTTAAAAGTGGATAGCCTGCAACTTTTCAGGATCACACACCCTGTGCATAAAAACTAGTCTGCCCAGTTAGAGTGCCCGTGATTTGCTGAGTGCAGAGTTGCCTTGTGTTCCTTCTCACCATCTCCAGGTTAGTTAAATACCTCTGCTGCTGGAAAAGCCACACAAGTGACCACATTTCCTTGAAATTTTCCCAGATTAAGATTTTCAAAATAAAAATGGATCTTTCAGTTGACATGTACAATTAAAGTAGTAGTATTTTCCTTGTTTCTAAGAAGATTTTGTCAAATTAATGGTGTTTCTTAAAATCAGTAGTATCTTTGACTCCAGGAAATATGGGTGTCTGTTTTGCATTCAGTTGAAATTCTGGTTTGAGGTTTGATGTTGGGGCTTTGAAGCTGCGAAAGCTGTCATCTGGCATTATTTAAAAGAATTTGAACATTTGTATCTGCAGTTGGGAGAATGCATATCTCTGAGACCCTACAGTCAGATCTTATAACAGAGACAGACCAGGTTGAGGTTTCAGATGGACATGTATTTTTTTGGGGGCGGGGAGGCATGTATTTAGTCCATAGAAATTCTGTTGTTTTTTTTTTCTAAAGATTTATTTATTTATACAAGCACTGGGTACAGTCAGAAGCGCAGGAGAGTGAGAGAATTCACCAGAGCCAGAGCAGGGAGCAGAACAGACAGACTGACGAAATACACTGCTGAGGGGAGCAGCAGGTGGCAGGAGAGGTCTGCGTGCCATGTGGTACCCTCACCCGGCGGCCGGGGATCTAACCGGCACTGCAGAGGCTGTGTGTTTTTTCTTTTTTTAAAAAAATCATTTGGAGGTGAAAACCTTGCCCTCTATGAACCTCAGTTTTCTCATCTGCTTAGTGGGAGAATTAGATCAGATATCATTCACATCCATAACTGCTAGAACTTCCTGTTGACTCAGTGTGGGCAGCCTCCTTCCTTTAGCGAACTAGAAGGCTCATCCCCTGAACTTGTTACATAAGCAAGTGCTTTTTAGGTGGTTGGAGGCATCATGGCCTGTGATGCATGGGCCTTTGGTTTCTGCTCCCTGGGTGTTTGGGGGTTGCTTGGAGACACAAGTCTGTTTGTAAATTACCTGACTTAAAGGTGTGGTCTCTGCTTTTCTCCCACAGGAGGGAGAGGAAGGGAGTGTCCTCATGCCCAGGTTCTTCTGCCTCTAGGTGATGAGAGGATCAGCAGTTCAGGAGGGTGATAACATGTGTCAGTGGGTTGAGGGACCAAATTTGATGTTCCTCCTTACTTGTTCAGTTCCAAGCCTGCTCTGGGGCCTGTGGAGTTCCCTAGATAAAAAGCACTGAAGAAGAGGACCTGCCCTTTTGTGTCTGCTGGTCTCCGCTCTGCCAGGGCCCCTCCCTCTGATCGTCTAACCAGTAAAAGTCACAGCAGCACATTTCCTTCCTGCAGAGAGAAAATCTGAGAGGCCTGCGCCAAGCCCCACCATGTCCTGAGAACCTCCTGTCAGTCTCTTGAGTGTCTTTAACCCTGTGCTCCTTTCTGGGAGGTCAGGCAGAACTGAGTGCAGGTTCTTGGCTAAGCTCTGCTTTGGGTTTGAGTTTGGGTTTTTCCACTCATTTGACTGACTGGGGAAGAATACTTCCCTGAACATTACCTTTCAGAACAGTCAAGTAATTTTTCACTTAGAGAAAAAAAAATGTGAAGGCACCAAAAAGAAATTTAAAAGGTCCGTAAAATCCACCACTTTAAAAATAATTTTAAGAATGTGTGGGGCCTCCCCGGTGGCGCGGGGTTGAGCGCTGGGTTGTGAAGCTGCCCGCAGCCTCTGCAGCACCGGTTGGATCCCGGGCTGCTCCCCGGCCACTGGAGGAGGGTCCCACATGGCGCGCAGACCTCTCCTGCCGCCCGCTGCTCCCCTCAGCAGTGTACTTTGGTCCTTCTGCCTGCTCTGCTCCCCGCTCTGGCTCTGGTGATTCTCTCACCCTCCCAAGCTCCTCTGACTGTACCCAGTGCTTGAATAAATAAACAAACAAACAAATAAATAAATAGATAAATAAATAAATAAAAAGAATTGTGTAGAGAGAGGTGCTCACATACATTTTTCTTCCCTTTGTTCAAAACTAATCTTGCTCTTTTGGCTAAATAAGAAAGCATATGTAGAATACCCAGCTTGCAAATGTTAAAGTCTCCTCCTCTTTGCCCCTCAGTGTTTTGTGGACTCATTAATTCCGCAGAGACTCACTCAGAGCAAACCAACCTCCTTGAAGCATCTGAGCTGCTTTGGTGCTGGTTTGCCTGCCTGGGGTGGTTCTCCCCTTTGGCTCTAGATGGCATTCAGTGCCCAAAGAATGTCAATACTGAGTGGGCCAGGACTTTGTTCTAGTCATAGGAGTATTTCCCCATAGTCTGCCCTAGAATATGCCTGCACAGAGCTATGATAGTTGCTCAGTTTGTATATGTACAACTACAAATGATGGTGTTTGATGGGGCTTTAAAGTGTGTGTAGGATTTCGAGAGGTAGAGACAATTTGGAGAGCATTCCAGCAAAGGGCCTATCATGAGTAAAGGTTGAGAAGTGGGGAAGGGCCAGGGCATAAGAAACTGTGAGTAACCAGTTTTGCCAGAATGGAGATGTGAACATTTCCATACTTGTTTGATGAGTTTTTTCATCCAACCCTGCACCTCACACAGACCTTCTAAAGAGGCTTATTATTGGGGCCAAGCCAGGATCAGAATGCTTTGCTTTGATGTACAAGTGCAGGCATTCAGGCACAATAACTCATGGCTCCTCAACACATTGAGGGGTGAGCACTTGAACCTAGTATCTCTTTGGCCTACCATCTAGGGAAGGGGCAGCCTTCCCTCTCAACCGTGATTGGACAGTCATGAAATAACAACCCCCAAAGAGGCTACAGGACAGAGGGCAGGAAGAATGGAGGCTTTGTCTTCTTTTGGTGCCTCTGATGGGCTCTCCCCTCTGCTTCACAGGCTGGAGGAAGTCCCCTTGGAGGTGCTGAGACAGAGGGAGTCCAAGTGGCTGGACATGCTCAACAACTGGGACAAATGGATGGCCAAGAAGCACAAAAAGGTGAGAGGCTGACTTTGGGCCTTGGGCTGAAAGTTGGGGACCTGGGGAGGAAGAGAAAGAGGAAGGAACTGCATTAGTTTGCAAGAGTAGGGGCTTTACCAACTGCCAGCTGGCTGGGGAGCAGAACCTAGCCATTACTTGGTCCTCCCAGACTCATGTAAACTTTGTCCTAGAGTCCAACTTTAAAGCCTCTCTTAGCCAAAGCCTTTATAGGCAGCTTCCCTCCAGCCCTGCTGGCAGAAGTCCGTATTGTTGCTTACCAACTATCAGGGAGGATATTATAATACTAGTAATAGCTAATGTGTGTTGATTACTTGACTTGAATAATCCTTACATACTCTGAAAAGGTTGGTGGTAGTAGTACCTATAGACTTAAGATTTGAACCCAGATGGTCTCGCTTTAGTGTCTGTATTCCACCTCAGAAAGGGCCTTCTTTACCATCTAGATTAATTTGATGAGTTCCCTCTCACCTCCTGGTCAAAGCAAAAGAAAAGTAACCTCACAATGTATGGTATTATAAAAATGAAATCACCCAGGCTTCCTTTTCTAATCAGGCTGTCTTTAGGCACTAATCCTATCACCCCATGGAAATGTCCTATCCCACCATGCTTATCTGTGTGTATTATTGCCCTCAGCTACCTTAGCTAGGTCTAGTTACACCCTGGCCTGGAGGAGGCCTATCCAGAGCCTCATCATATCTGGGGGCTCTCTGCACAAGTTCCCAGTACACAGAGTGAACCTGCTGGCCTATGTTGTCAGCTGACCCACTGGTCTGGTCCAGATTGGTACAGCTAGCAGTGGGGCCTAGCAAGCTCAAGACAGGTTAGGTATGGGCTTGGGCCCAGACCCATGCCTGTGGCTAGCTGTGTCACTGGACCAGTTTCCCCAGCCCTGTGAGAATGACAATCAGGAGGCTCCCACAAGGCGGTGACTATAAAGCCCTAAGCCACCAAGGCCTGGGCTCTTTCTTACTGTTCTGTCTGGGCTTTGGGGCACTAATGTTTTTGCTTACTAGAATATCTTTCTCTTTAAAAAAACTTTTTTTTAAGGCAGCTAAACTGCTTCCTGCCTGACTCGGGAACTGTCTTCCTGCTTCTTCATCCCTCAGGCTCTTATCTGAGTTTCAGCTCCCTGTAGTGACTAGTGGTTGGCAGATAGTGGCTTGGTTTTTTTTTTGCCCCAGCCTCCCTGGCAAACACAGATTCCAGAGGGAACCTAGGGGAGGTCCTGTTAGGAGGACAATCAGCACAACTTCCTCTTCCCCTTTGCTTCCCTGCACTGTGATTAGAGGCCAAGGGCAACCCCTGCCCAGCAGGAGCCACCACAGGAGTGCTTTACCCAACCCACCCCAGAGGCCTTAACCCTCTGATGCATTCCTCAGCTGTGGCCACACTGGCCTTGGGATTTCTTCCGGCCTGGCCCTGCAGGCTTGAGCTTTCTCTGTGGCACAGGAAAAACAATACCTGCTTCAGGAAGTGGGTTCAGACCAGTATTTCTCCAGGACTCAACCTAAGTCCTCAGGAGGGAGCCAGGCACTGCAGGGAGGCGGGGTTGTGGCTGGAATGCTGTGTTCCCCTGAAGGGCTCTGTTCAAACTGTGACCCTGCCCTTCTGGAGTTCAGTAGGCAGGGTGTGCCCTCAGACAAGATGTTGCAACAGAGAATGCTAACCCCTCCAGCTTTCCACTCGCTGAAGCACTTTCTCTGGCTTTATCCATACTGACGCCCACCATTGTCCCCCCACTAAGATAGGTATGTAGAATATTGCTCTCTCATACCTATGTGCTGAGAACTCCAGAGGCAAGAGTGGGAAAAGCTGGCTGTACTCCTACCTCTCCATCCCCACCTCCCCACCCTGAGTGGTGGGCTGAAGGTGTTCCTAGGCTCCCCTGGGGCCAAGTATGTTGTGTGGCTAGCTCAGGCTGATCTCAGCCCTGAGGGAATACTAAAGGACCTATGACTCTGGGCCATATTGCATCTCTCTGCTAAACCCTATCCAGACCAAGCCTCCTTAAGGACACCCTTGTCCTACAGCAGCAGGAAACTGTTCCCAGAATCTGGGGCAGCTCCCTTCCACTCCCTTCCTCTCCCTGCTTTGTAGGCAATCCCAGAAACTTGGACCAGTCATTCTGCCCTTCACCTACTGCCCTCAGCCTGTCTGCCTGTCTTTTTCCTGGTTCTTGACTCTCTCTGACCCTTGGAAAGTTTTATTTACAGTGGTCATCAGGAAGGCTGTGCCTCCTGCGCTCCCTTCTCTGAGAGCTTCTGACAGTACTATCCGAGGGGGTTTCCAGGTCAGGGGAAGTTAGGTGTGAGCCCAAGACCTTGGGGAGTCAGGCTTTTTCAGATGAGAGGAAGTCATCATTCTACAGGAATGGTGACTCTGCCTTTGCCCTTACTTTCCTTCACCCTTGGCCTTGAGGTCAAGGAGGACAGTAGGTGCTGCCTCAGACCCTCACTCTACCCCAAGCCCAGGGGGAACTCACCTCTCTGAGTCTGAGAGGCAACCTAAGTGGAAAATCCCACGAGCTTGGATCCCTCTAGCCTATGTGGTATAGGTGCTAGGTAGTAGGGTCCCTTGTGGTGTGATCTTTATAATTTTCCCACTCTGTGCCTTAGTTTCCCCATTTGTAAAAGCTGTGATGGTTTTACAAACTGGCATTTGTCAATGGGAGCCTTTTTCTGGTAAAAATAGCTAGCATATGATTTAGATACTACTAACTCGGGGTCATAAACTACCTCCAAACACATCCCCTTCACCTCTTCTGGGTGGGAAGATGTATGCCATTTTAGCAAGGGTTGGTAGCTATGGGAGCTCAGGGTCAGGAAGAGCAGAAGAGAGGGGATTCTGATGAAAACAGAGCCATTCTGATCAGCTCTTCTGAGTTGTACTGAGATTTCGTCTCTCTAGATAGATTGTTAAACAAAACCCCCATGCACGTGCCCAGGTCACATTCTGCGGGGCTCCTCTAACTTGATTGGCCCCATTTTGATTTAGAAAATTCTGATGGGGATTCAGAATCCTGTGGTAGACCTCAGGAATGCCTGTGCTGTCACTGGATCAGGGAATGTGGGGACCCTGCCATCAACCGGTAGCAACGCATCTAACTGCAGTTACGCTGCCCCCGCCTCCCACCTGCATTCCTCTGCCCCAGTTGTAGATCTGCATTGTGGCGTTATTAGGAGAGTCCGCTTTCCTTACTGACATGTTCACTGAAGGCGCTCTAAGTACCGTCAGAGGGGCACAGCTGGCACACAGCCTCTGGGGTTGCTGCATGGCAAATATATGGGCACAAAACTCCTTTTGACTTTCAGATCCGACTGCGGTGCCAGAAGGGCATTCCACCTTCTCTTCGGGGCCGGGCTTGGCAGTATCTATCAGGAAGCAAGGTGAAGCTACTCCAGAACCTTGGAAAGTTTGATGTGAGTTGCCTTTCTTTCCACATCTTCCCCTCTGCCCTGTCTCTTGGTATCCTCTGTGTGCTCACCATTAAGTGTCCAGCTGCCCATCCAACTCTTTCTCTTTCTTTTTTTTTAAAGATTTTATTTTTGTATAGAACTGGGTATAGACCAGAGGTTCTCTGTGTGTGTGTGTGGTGTGTGAGTATGTGTGTGTGTGTGAGAGAGAGAGAGAGAGAGAGAGAGGGGATTCACTAGAGACAGAGTGGGGAGCAGAACAGGTGGATTTACTGAAATACACTGCTGAGGGGAGCAGTGGGCGAGACAGGAAAGGTCTGCCATACCCTTTATGGGTTAGCTCTCTGTCTGGGGATCAAACTCAGGTGCCTTCAAGATTATAGTGCTGAGACTTAACCCCTAGGCTACCAGGGATGCCCCCAGCTCTTTCTCTTGACAACCACTCAAGTTTGCTCTTGGGCTCAGCAGGCTACCTCTCAGTCCTTGGTCATCAGGAAGGGACACTCAGACCTTTTCCCTAACTGCTTTGGATCCTGTACTCTGATCTTTGGGGATCTGCTAGCAGGGCTGGAGGGCCCTCAACACTTCCTGGCCTCCCATCCTCTACTCTTTCATCTGCCTCATCCAAACCTGGACAGACACAATTCACCTGTGTTGGTTGTGGGGTTGTCAGCCCCAGGTATGGCAGAGCCAAGCTAATATCCAGAAGTCAGAAGCAAGTCAGTTGTCAGAGTGTGCTCGCTGCAGCCATACCTTCTCCTACACATCTCCATCCCTAGTTCCCTACCCTATAGCTATGAAAGCCCCCCACTCATGGGGCTTTCTGGGCCTCCCCTTGGCAGGGCAGCTCCTCCAGACTGCTGCCTTAGGGAACTATGGGAGGTAGTTGTCTTCCCTGGGGTTGCCCTGGCTTACCTGCCAGACCTTACCTGGCCCCAGGCATCAAAGCTTTCTCCCAGGCTCTTGGGGACTGATAGTGAAGTAGAGCTGCCAAACACTAGCTTTTTGCTGACATACTTTATGCTTCAGCGAATACTCTAGTCCTGCCAAATCCATTCCCTGAGGAGTGGGGGCAGAGCAGGGTAACCTAGAGTTTGACCTGGAGGGGATGAGAGCTGTCTGCTGGCAGCACTGGGCCCTGAAGGGCTGGGGACAGGATGCTGGAGGAGTATCTGGCTGGGGGCAGTTCTAATTAGAGCAACTGGACTATTCTACAGAGCACCAATATCAGGCCCTACTCGAGTATCTTTTCCACTCGAGTTTTCTCTCCAGTGGCTATATCTCGTTTATTTCAGGGGACATCCCAGGTTGAAGATGAGAGGTTCAGGGGTGGGAACCCCACCCTAAGTCTTTACTTTACCTCCAGCTGCCCAGCAGACATGAGAGCCAAGAGCTTGGGCACCCCTGCAGCCTCCCAACCAACCCCACAGTTATTGCGTGTATGCATTATGTGTGTTGAGTGCTTCCATCTGGAGAAGTTTTGCCATCCCTGAGGGGCCTTGAAGGTTGCTTGTGGGAGGAGGTAGAGTTGCTGAGAAAGGCCTTCTGAATGTTCTAAAGCTGAATGATGGGTCCCCAAGGTAGTCCTGGGTGCCAATCAGTGGTTTGTAGGTGCTCCTGCAAGGACTTTGCCTATAGGTGACATGGCAGAAGTGAACAGGGCTAAGAGGTTCCCTCTGCTGTGGGTATATGAACCCTGAGGGAAGGGTACAGTGATAGGGCTGTTGGTAGCAGCATGTACCTACCTGTTCCTGTGCTCCCCCAGAGACCCAGGTGGCTGATCCTAGCTTCAGCTGCTGGGGCAGGTTTTGCAGCCCTGGTAGCTCTGTCTTCTCTTGTACTTGCTATTTCTTCCTCCTTCCTTGGGCAATGCAGGACTTTCTGTCCTTTTGTAACCTGATTTTCTTTTCTAGCTTCAGCTTATAATGGAACCAACATTTTCAGTCTTTTATGGAGGTTGTAATAACTGCTTCATCTGCCACCAGTCCTCACCTGCCTTTCATTCCCAGTGTCCCTTCTCCACAAAGACCCTGCAACTACCTCTCTTCCTCTCTCACCAGCCCATGTGTGGTCAGGTGCCTTGGGCTGCTGAAGTACCAGGCAAGCATATCCTAGGAACTTACTTTGGGTTCTCAGGCCCCCACTTCTTGGGAACCCTCAGGAGAATTTGTGGGAACCTCCTTCCCTTTCCAACAAAATCAAATCTGCAGGTACTTAGTATCCAGCCTGGGGCCTGACATGGCACATAGGATGAACACAGACTCCCATCTTGAGATCTGTATGGGGCTCTAGAGGTTATATGCTGATCTCCTTGGCCGTGCACCTGCCCAACCCCTCCTTCCATCCTCCATCTTGAATCTTCTGTCAACTTTTCCTCTTAGTACATACTTTCCCACGTCAAGTTACCTGGCATCCTAGGGTCTTCAGTTTAATGCTGGGACATCCCCCCTGAGGGAGCACAAGAGGGAAAGGGGCTTATATCAAGTTACCTGCTAATCAGGGACAGGGCCGGGACCTGCACCCATTGGAGTGTTTGCTAAGGACCCACCTTCCTCCTGGGGGACTCCTGACGCTGCTCTGGCCCTAAAGGTGATGTGCACTTAGTCTACTTCCCTGTTCAAGCCTCTGAGTTTCCTTTTTAGTGATTCTTTCATTTTAAAGTTGAGGTATGAATTTACATAGGTAAAATGCACATATTTAAACTGTGCAGCTCACTGAATTTTGACAAATAGACATACCCACTAACCAATATGGAAATCAAGATATAGAACATTTAAATGATGGAGATGATTTTTCTTTTTATGATAGCTTGATTTTTATAAACAGCACTCATTTTTTTTTAAATATAAATTATGGTTTATTTTTTATTTTTTAAGAAACCAGTTTCTTAAAATTTCAAAAATAAACAGATTAGAATGACTTAGGGCACATATCCCCCACAAAAATGATAATTATGAATAATAAAAACTTGCATTGCTATCCATAGAATAATAATATAAAGGTAAACTAAACCATCATGGTTTAGTGTAAGATAGATCAATGAAATATATTCAAAATAACAAACTACCAATTATTAATAAGAGTTATAATGATAAAATTATACTAATTTTATACTTAAAATAATGATTAAGAAAATAAGTAACTAAATAAAATAATCATTTTATTTATTTATTTATTTATTTATTTTAAATAAATTTTATTTTTATATTCCCCATACAATTGCAATCCCCTTATTTTGACCCCAATCCCTCCCCTCCCCACTCCCCACCCTCCATGGAGTATCCCTGGTTCATAGTTTTTTTAAACAACACTCATTTTAGTTCATGGAAGTTCAAAAAAAGAGTAAAACTTCCCTTGAAACTCCAACTCACAGAGATTGTCCTGAGATTAATAGTTTGACAGATAACACATCCTTCTAGACAGTACTCTCTACAGATCACACACACACATCCCTCTTCTGAACAGGTGACACCACTTGCATAGGGACACAAGTGGCAGAGGAATTGGGATTGATGGCTCTGAATCAACCTGGCTTCCAGGCCTAGCTCGACCATTTTTCTAATCACTGGGCCTGGGAAAATGATTTTTCTTTGACCTTCAGCTTCCTCTTTAATGACAGTGTAATGATAGGACCTGTCTTTTAGAATTAAGGAGAAGAGTCAGTGAGACCCTGGGTCAGCTTAGCACCTACCTGGCGCAGCGTGGAGCTCATAGGTTGTAGCCATCGCTTTGATAGTAGTAGCCTTCCTCTTAAGGATGGGACAGAGCATGGACTTAGTCCTGAATGAAGTGCCTAGAGTTAATTCCAGACACAGCTAAGACGAAGATTCTTGACCACACAGGTCTTCCTCTAAACAGTATCACCCCTCGGGGTTCGCAGGGCCCTTTCCCCTCTTGCTTCTTTGCCCCTGTCTGGGATTCCTGTTCTATTCTCAGATGGGCCCAGTCCATGATGGGAGTGGGTGGGCATTGCCCCAGGTGCGTGTGCGGGGGTTCCTCCAGTACCTAGAACAGTTGTATCTTCCCAGCAGTCCCTAACTCCTAATAGGTACACTTGACCTTACTTCCAGGAACTGGACGTGTCCCCTGGGGACCCCAAGTGGCTGGACGTGATTGAGCGCGACCTGCATCGGCAATTCCCTTTCCATGAGATGTTTGTGTCCCGGGGGGGCCATGGGTGAGCAGGCTGGGCCTTATGGGCTGAAGGTGGCTCTAGGCCCTGTCCCTTAGGGGGCAGAGGAGATAAAATGAGTTTGTGAGTATCTCGGGGGCCTAGAAGCTGAGAGGTCCCAAGCCTGAATGTTAGAGTTTCCCTTCTTTGATTTGAGTCTAATGTAATGGGTCCTCTTAGTGTCTTCTCCTACCGGGGCAGGGGGCACCTTTCATATTTACTCCCCAGAGTGTTAGAGTCTGCCTGAAGCATGTTTTGGTGTGGAGAAAGAGGGTTAGAGAGAGTTGTGTGGGCAGAGGCTGTGTAGGAAGGGAGGGACACAGTGGCCCAGGAGACCAAGGCAGGTGCCAAGGACAGTCTGACTGAGGGGCCCTAGCTGGGGATTTATGGCCCCACACTCTAGTCCCTGACGCATCCTTACCTGTGTCTGGAATCCTGCTCTGGCTCTGCCCCCTACTTTGTCTTTGAGCCACTGGCTTCACCTATCAAGTCAGGGAGCCCCTCCCAGCCTCTCTCCTTTAATTATATGAAAGGCTATCCTCCAGTGGGAGACTGATCCCATCGTGACCACAGTCAGGCCACACCCCCTCTCCAAGGAAGTGCAGAGCCTGAGACAGGTCTGGTCTAGTGGGGCGCAGGTGAGGAGGGTAGTAGGTGGCAGTCACTTGTCATCTCTGCCCCACTTGGCCTCTCTACAGCCAGCAGGACCTATTCCGTGTACTGAAGGCCTACACGCTGTACCGACCTGAGGAGGGCTACTGCCAGGCCCAGGCACCCATTGCCGCCGTCCTGCTCATGCACATGCCTGCTGAGGTACCACCAAGCCCTGGGTAGGTACGCTGAGGGTAGGGAACACTCAGCAGAAGGCTTCAAATCTTTTTTTGCCCACAGCAAGCCTTCTGGTGCCTGGTGCAGATCTGTGAGAAGTACCTGCCTGGCTACTACAGTGAGAAATTGGTGAGTGCTTGCTTCAGGTTGGATGCCCTCTGTGGCCCCTCCATTACTTTTTTTCCATGCTACTCTTGGTGCACCCCGCCCCTCTTTGTTAAAATTTCCCCAGCCTTTTGTTGCTTGCCGGGGTCAGGTTTCCTGGGCTCCAGTGATGTGGGTTCTTCTCTCACTTCCTTCTTAGCCCCCAGCTGTCTGTCCCTCTCTGTGCGATCATAGTTCCTCCAGTAACCAATTCCTTTCTTTCTTTCTTTCTTTTTTTTTTTTTTTTTTTAATTTTTTAAAGAAGGCTGAGAAAGGCAGTCAGAGCAGTTCAAAGAGGACTCGGTAGATCTTTTTTTTTTTTTTTTAAAGTAATACATATTTTGGATTTATTTATTTATATACAAGAACCAGGGTACAAGCCAGAGGCGCGGGAGGGTGAGAGGATTCACCAGAGACAGAGCGGGGAGCAGAACAGGCAGACTGACTGAAATACACTGCTGAGGGGAGTGTGACAGGAGAGGTCTGCTGGGCCATGTGGGACTCTCCCTGGCTAGCTGGGAATTGAACTCGTGCTGCAGAGACTGCAGACAGCTTCACAGCGTGGCGCTCAACCCACTGCACCACCGGGGAGGCCCACAGTAACCAATTTCTTTCCAGCCTCCAACTTGGCGTAGGCTTAGACCTCTGCCCTCTTCCTCCTGATAACTCCTCCTTTACCTTAGCTTTCAGCCCTCAAGGGTCTTTCTGTTACCCTGATAGGCTGGACCTCTGGCTTTTACCTTCCCACAGTTCCTGCCTTGAACCTGGCACTTAGTCCCATACCTCCTCCCCTGGACTCTCTGGTCATGTCTAAGAGCCCCTGTTCACTATATACTCCACACGGGGGACCAGCTCTGTCTGGTTTGCTCATCGTTACCTCCCAGCACAAGGAGACTGCCGAATGATTAAATGCCTGCTCAGCACTGGGGGTCAGGGCATCATCCCTGTCCTGGTTGCTGTAGCCCTGTGGTCATGGACCCATGGCTTCACTGTGGCCCCAGGAGGCAATCCAGCTGGATGGGGAGATCCTCTTCTCACTGCTACAGAAGGTGTCGCCCGTGGCCCACAAGCACCTGAGCCGGCAGAAGATCGACCCGTTGCTCTACATGACAGAATGGTTCATGTGTGCCTTCGCCCGCACCCTGCCCTGGAGCTCTGTGCTGCGTGTCTGGGACATGTTCTTCTGTGAAGGTAGTGGGCTGGCGGCAGGGGAGCACCCCTGCACCCAGCCCAGCCCACAGGGGGCCTCTATTTCCAGAGAAACCTCCTTAAGGCCCCCTTGCACTCACTGCCCACCCCCCCCCCCCCCCCCGCAGGAGTCAAGATCATCTTCCGGGTGGGGCTGGTGCTGCTGAAACATGCACTGGGCTCCCCTGAGAAGCTCAAAGCCTGCCAGGGCCAGTACGAGACCATTGAGCGGCTGCGGAGCCTCAGCCCCAAGATCATGCAGGAGGCCTTCCTGGTCCAGGAGGTGCGGCCCACACCTTCCCCTGACCCCCAGGAGTGGGGGTGCTTCCTGGGAGCCCTTTAGAAAGCAGCACAGTAATCCGCTGCTCCTGCTGTGCCAGGCCTGCTGCTCAGCAACACACAACTGCGGGGAGATTCATCCTTCTGTCCAAGGGGGAAGCAGGGCCACAGAAAGGACTAGGTGTGCGTGAACATCTTGGTAATGAGAGGACCTGTAACATGCGGTCCCCTTTTCCTCTCTGGCATCACATCCATGACCTCGGCTTTATTTTCCCTTTTCTCTTTCTTTGTGGATTTTTGTCTCTCAGGGACTGTCAGGGGGTGAGTTAGGCAAGGGGACTCATGAGTTGTGGACAGCTTTCTCCTCTGAGGCAGTGCCTGGTGAGCCCAGCCACCAGGCACTCAGCTCTGAGACTTGAGACCACTGCAGGGACCAGACCCCCATCCTTCCTAGGGTCAGACTTTAATGGCCAGGTCTGTGGGATACCAAGGGAGAGCAGGGGCCCAGGCAGAAGGGAAACTTCTTCCTGGTGCCCACCTGCCTGTCACAACCCCCACAGGTGGTTGAGTTGCCAGTGACAGAGCGACAGATTGAGCGTGAACACCTCATCCAGCTGCGTCGCTGGAAGGAGACCCGTGGTGAGCTGCAGTGCCACTCCCCACCCAGGCTGCATGGTGCCAAGGCCATCCTGGAGGCAGAACCAGGCCCCCGACCCACCCTGCAACCATCAGCATCCATCCGCCTGCCCCCAGAAGCCTCCCTCCCTGGCTCCAAAGGCAACCCCAAGCTGCCCAAGCAGGTGCAGAAGGAGCAGCAGAAACAGAAGGCAGGTGGGCAGCTGGAAAAGCCCACATCCCCAGCTCCCCAAGACCCAGCCCACCATCGCTCCCATGAGAGCCTGACGTCGCAGGAGAGTGAAGACACCTACTTGTAACCCTGGCAGTTCAGGACTCTGGGGTGGGGTCTCCACACACCTGCACCGTTCACGGACTGACACTCCAGGACCTTCCCACCCTCTGAGAGCCCAGCCTCCTGGCCGCTGGGTGGCAGAGACTCTGGCTGGCCCAGCACAGATTCTGTCTGAGCCTCCTTATTTATTTTCTCTCCATAGTGGAGCTCAGGCTGGTCCGAATAAGGCAGGCAGAAGTGAAGGCCGATGGGCTGGACCTCACTTAGTCGCCTCCTTCTGGGGAGTTGCTCCCCAGGGCCAGGGCACTAACATGAGGAGAGAGGGTGGGGTGAAGGGTGGGGTGCTCTTTGTGTAAAATAGAAACATTGTTTTGTACAGAAATAAACAGGCTTGTATAGAGAACTGATCTGCTTCTAGAAACTAGAAGGAGCTGGGAAGGGGTGCCATGCCGGGTGCTCAGTGTCTCTTCTCCATGCCCTACAGAGCTCACCATCCTGGCTTCAGCCTAGTATAAGAGGTTCTCTGAGGAGTATCTTTGCCAGAGGAGAAGCCACGTCCAGGGCCAGCCCCTACTCCTGGCCCCCAATTTTCCTCACCTCACCCCCTCAGCCCCATGTCCACCATCTGCCACAGATAAGCAATACCGGGATGGGAGTCCAGTTTGGGGGCTGAGCTGGGCCTGCTCTCCAGGCCTTGATCCCTACCCATCCCTGAAGGAAAGGGCTTGTTAAGGAGATGCTTGCAGAGTCTCCCTTTTCCAAGGCCTGACCTGGATGCCACTTTGGATCCCGCTAAGCTTCTAAGTGCTCATACCAGGATGGGTGCTGGGGCCAGGTGGGAGGACCATGAACATCCTTACATGCTCAACCTGGGCCTCCATCAGAGGCAGAGGGGTTAGGGGAGATGGCTGGGTATCTGGTAAAAGGCTCCTGCCATTAACTGAGCACTTAGCATGTACTAGGCTGGACTGGTGGTCTCATGTACCTGATCAGGTAGGCTTTACTGTTATCCCCATTTTACAGATGAGGAAACAGAGGATCTGAGTGGGAAAGATGAAGTTGATCCAGATTTGCACCCGGAGCCCCTCAGCTACTTCTCCAGGGTGCCAGATGACCTGTTTCTGCCATTGAGGGCCTGGGCAGACGCTTATGGTCATAACCTGATGATTGGCGAGGGTGAGAACAGGGTGTCCCTGGGAAAGGCCCCTCCCCCCCCCCCCCCCCTCTGCTGAGGAAGCAGCTTTTCCAGTCAAACAATAGCACTGTTCCTGGCAGGCTATCAAACTTCACTGGGCTGTGGGGGAGGGGGTAGGAAAGGGAGGAATAGAGCCTCCCAGGGAGCTTTCAGGCATCCCAGGGCCTCGGCCTAGAACCTCTTGGCCTGGTACAGCTGGGGATACTGAGGCCTGGGGAGATCAAGGGTCACACAAGCTTATAGGGCAGGTCATCCACTTTCTGCCTCCCGTCCCCTCACCCCTGTGGCTTCCCACCTCATCTGTACCTGATAGCAATGAAGTGAGGGGCTAGCCTTTGAAGACATGGGCTCCCCCACCCACCCTGCAGGGTATGATAGGCCAGGATGTGGTGACTTCCCAGTGCTCCACTAGAGACCACTAGGCCAGAGGGTCAGGGAAGGAAAACTGTCCTGCTTTCATCTGTCCACAGTGGAGAATTCTGAGCAGGCTGCAGGCCTATGTAGGCCTACTGGATCCCCATCAGGCCTGAGGCCTGCTCTAACTTGCATGGTTCAGGGTCTCAGACCTGAAGCCTGAGGATGCTCTGGTCAGAGAAGCGCCACCCCCCAACCCCCACCCCTAAGCATGCTTGACCCTAGATGTAGAATGCCTGCTTAACCTTGGGGGGGTCTTGGACCCGAGGAGGCCTGAACAGAACCCATTTCTAACCTCAAAATGAGTGTAAACTGGCCCTAACAAGCCTCAGATCTGGGCCGTTTGCCAGTTCAGGGGGCCTCTCTTAACCGTTTAAACGTGCTCTGAGCAACTGCGACCTGCTGCAGGTTTGGGCAGGGCCAAATTCTCAGTACCCAGTGAGCCCCAGATGCTTGGGCCTGTATGCCCCAAAGTCTGAGCCTTGGTCATTCCTGGTTCAAGCACTTACGGGGGTGGTGGCTGGGGGCCACCCCACCCAGGCCAGGCTTCACCCTGTCAAGCAATTTGCTGGGTTCATAAAGCAAGGGGGTTTGTACCGATCCTGGGCAGCCCCTGCTGGGGGACAAGCACTTTTCTCCCCACCACCCCAGTCAGCTCTGGTGGTCCTACCCCTCGCAGAGCATGGAGCGGAAGGAGGGAGAAGGGCCTGGGGCAATGTGTTGAAAGCACTAACGGGGTCCCCCAGTCTGCACAGTGGACCCTTAGCCCTTCGGGCACCAGGTGCCCCGATTGCCCAGCGGCCCTTCCAACCTTCAATGCCCGCAAGCAAACACCCCACGCGGGAGGTGGAAGGACAAACACCAGCTCTGGCCTCCCGCACGCGGCCGACGCCCTACGGAAAGGGCGGAGCCCGGGGAGGGGGCGCGGCAAGGGCGGGACCTGGAGGACTCCGGCGGTGCCGTGAATGGGCGAAGCGGGAGCCCCGCCAGGGGGGCGGAGCCAGCGGGGCGGAGCGCGGCGGCTGGGAAGGAGCGTGCACCGCTTCGGTGCCGGGAGGAGGCGCGGCCGCCCTGGAGAGGCCCCGCCGGGCGGGGCCGCCAGGGAGCGGGACTCGGCGCGGGACGGGGCGGGTCCGCGGCGCAGCGGGCGGCGTGGGCCCGGCGGCGCCGCGTCCCCTTTAAGCCCCGGCCCCGCCCCGCCGCCCCGCCCCCGGCGGCCTGGGTCTGGCAGGCGAGGGTCGGGCGGGCTCGCCGCGATGGAGCTGCACATCCTCGAGCACCGGGTGCGGGTGCTGAGTCTCGCCCGCCCCGGTCTCTGGCTCTACACCCACCCGCTCATCAAGCTGCTCTTCCTGCCCCGCCGCAGCCGGTGCGCGCTCGGGTTCGGGGGCGCGGGCGGGGGTGGGCGCCGCCGAGGCTCCGGGTCAGGGTCGGGGGACGGGGATCCGCGCGGGGCGGCCGGGCGGGCGGGCCCTCCCTCTCCGCCCCCCCCCGGGCCCGGGCCTGCCCTCCCCGGGGCCGCCGCCGGTCCGGCCCCGCGCCCCCTCCCAGGGCCACTCGGGCACCGCGCCCGCCGGGCCGGCAGTCCTCGGCTCCGGGTGGGCTCGGGCGCGGCCATGGCGGCCCGGGTGGAGGGCGCTGCCTTCACGCGCCCCCGCCGGAGGCTGGCGCCGGGGGCTCAGGGTTAACGCCCCTGGGCCTGTTGCCCAGGTGAGCCTCTCCTCCCTCCCGGAATGGAGGGGCGGGGGGCTCCGGCGGAGGTGAGCAGGCGGAGCACGGTCCGCGGCTCGGAGATGGGCCCGCACGCCACTGCCCTGCGGGGAAAACTGAGGCTTGGGGTGGGGGGGCTGGAAGGCGCCCGGCAGGGGGTCTTTCCGGGCGAAAGGAGCGAAGCCCACCCGCCCCCTCCGCCCTGCCCAGGCTGAAGATGCCCCCACCCCACCCAGGTGCAAGTTCTTCAGCCTGACGGAGACCCCCGAGGATTACACGCTCATGGTGGACGAGGAGGGCTTCAAAGGTGGGGGCTGGGCTGAGGAGGGGGTGTAGGGGGAGGTTTGCCACGCTCTCCTCTTGGGGGTTCTTGCTAGGTGCGGCGGAGACCACGGCCCCGGGAGCTCCGGCCTTGCAGGCAGATGGAGCGGGGCTGGAACTCGGCGCTCGGCTGCTGGCTGTGTGCCCTCGAGCCAGTCACTTCCCCCCTCTGAGCAGTTTGTTTCCCCTTATGTGAAATGGGTACAGCTGATGGTTCTGAGCTAATAGGATCCCATGAGCCCTTCGTCAACAGGGCTACGTGCGAACAGCGCTTAGCAGCCTTAGGCCACCCGCAGGGCCTCAGTCAAGGGCACGAATCAGGGGTTGCTATGGCTGTTAGAACCCCCTGGCCACTCTTTCCCCCGGACTACTCTTGCTGCTGAGGGCAACCCCCTCTGCAGCTGGCCTGGGAACTCCAGGAGTCTGAGGGTTGGAGAAAGAATGCAGAAGCAGGCAGCCAGCCCAGGGCAGGGTTCTTGGGGGCCTCTTGGCTATGCTTGAGCAATCAGCAGCTACCCCAGCCCTGGCCTGTGCTCCGGACTAGATGCCAGTCTGGTCCCTGGAAATGACATCTGGCTCCTATTCCTGACAGCCTGACCCATCCACACAGGCCTAGAATCTCAGGGCAGCCAACTGGAGCTTGGCCCACCCCCAACTTGCTGCTCCAGTCAGGCCTTAGTTTCCCTGTTTGTACTGCAGGAAGGTCTGGGTTGGTTAAGGGGGAAGGGCATCCCCCAGCCAACCTGATCTGTTAGCGCCCCCTGCTGTTACTTCCTTGTGTAAAGCCGCTGGTAACTGAACACTGTCAAGAGGCGCTTGCTGTCATTCCTTTTGACAGTTGAGGAATCAGATTCCAAGTAGTTAAATCCCTTGCCCCAGGTCAACAGCAAATAATGGCAAAGCTGGGTTTGGCAAAGATTCTGTTTGAATATTGAACTTCGATCTTAACTGGTAGGTTTCAATCCTTCAAAGACTAATGCCTAAAGCACTTTCTAGTCCTTGCATACACACAGGTCTTGGGAGCAGAACTTGGGGGAAGGAGACAGCCTCAGACCTGCCTTTACCTTGGAAGAGCCCTCCAAGGCACAGACAGGGAAACTGAGGGCCAGGGACCAGGCCTCCAGTCCCTGACTGGGCATGTGCTCCCCGCCCACAGAGCTGCCCCCATCAGAATTCCTGCAAGTGGCCGAAGCCACGTGGCTGGTGCTGAACGTGTCGTCCCACAGTGGGGCAGTGGTGCAGGCTGCTGGGGTCACCAAGATCGCTCGCTCAGTCATCACACCACTGGCCGAGCACCATGTATCTGTGCTGATGCTGTCCACTTACCAGACAGACTTCATCCTGGTGAGTGTCCCACAGGCACCAGTGCAGGGTAGGGTGGGCCCGGGGCCCTGGAGACTCATATGATGTGTCATCTCCCTGTGGTGCAGGTGCGGGAGCAGGACCTGTCTGTGGTGATCCACACTCTGGCCCAGGAGTTCCACATTTACCGAGAGGTGGGCGGGGAGCCTGTGCCTGTTGCCAGGGATGATTCCAGCAATGGCTTTCCCCGGACCCAGCATGGTGAGGGCCTCTCACATCCCTCTGGCATCCAAACCTGGGTAGAGGCTCCTCCTCCCACAGGGGCCTTCCCTTGTACTGGCGGGCCTGTGGGTGTGAGGAGACTCGCTGATCGCTCATACAGGATGGTGTGGGAAGCGAGGTGGGAGGTGGGTTTCCGGGAAGCTTGACTCTACCCAGCCCAGGCCTTGCCCTCACCAGCCACCAGGGGTCGCTCCAGCCCATGAGCACACTTGACTGTCTTAGCCTGGTTCTTCCTCAGTAGGGCCCAGCCCCACTGTGCATCCCATCCAGAGCCCACAGAACCGATTCTGTGTTCTCACACTGGACCCTGAGACCCTGCCAGCCATTGCCACTACCCTCATCGATGTCCTCTTCTATTCGCACAGGTGGGCTTTGTTCTTCGTCTCTTTGTCCTCCTGTCATTGCTCCCTGTGCTCCTGTCCTATCATCTCCTGTCCATCTCTTGGTTCTGCAGCTGTGCTCTGTTCTGTGGCCCATGTGCCCTTCACTGACGTTGGGGGACCAGGGTGATCCACGTGGACACTCCCTCAGCCCTCCGGAGGCAGCGACTGAAGTCCCCTCCTGTGGTGTTGGGCAGAGCCGTGCTCTGGTCAGGCTCTCCAGCCCTCGGGTTCTGTGTCTTCACAGCCAGGGCTCATCGTCCTTCCCCACCCCACCAATATCGTTAGGAGATCAAGGTCCTTGGACAGGGAAGGAAGGACCCAGCCCAGAGATAGGGGGACCTGCCCAGGGCTCCCCATGCCAACCCCTTCCCAGGCTCCTAGAGGCTTGCTGGGAAGAGATGGAATTGGCAGGGTGTGTGGCAGCGCCCCTGAGCCTTCTGTTCCTTCCCAGTGCACCCAAGGAGGCAGCCCCTGGCAGTCCCGGATCCAGCTCCATCACATTCTTTGCCTTTTCCCTCATTGAGGGCTACATCTCCATCGTCATGGACGCTGAGACACAAAAAAAGTATGTGCCCCTGACACTGGGTGAGCCGTAGACCCCAAGCCAGCCCCGGGGAGGGAGCGTCAGACTCTGAGGCCACCTGGTTCACCTGCCCCACGGGCTCACCATGGGGCAGAGAGGGGATGTGAGTGCCCTGCCCACTGCCCCACTGCCCGCTGCTTCCCCAGGTTCCCCAGTGACCTCCTACTGACCAGCTCCTCCGGGGAGCTATGGAGGATGGTGCGCATCGGTGGACAGCCCCTGGGCTTTGGTGAGGGCTGCTACTTGTGTGCTGGGGGCTTGGGGAGGGCCTCCTGGGGGACCAGGGTGATCCACATGGACCCTTCCTCAACCCTCAGATGAATGTGGGATTGTGGCCCAGATTGCTGGCCCTCTGGCTGCGGCGGACATTTCTGCTTACTACATCAGCACCTTCAACTTTGACCACGCCTTGGTGAGCACCATGGACTGGGTGGGGGCTTCTGCAGGGAACTGAGGCCCAGGAAGTTGGGGGGGACAGGAAGTAGTCCCCGTTGGGTTAGACATTGGGGACCCCTGACCAGCTTCAACCCTGACCCCTCCTCTGCCCGCCTGCCGCAGGTGCCCGAGGATGGTATCAGCAGCGTCATTGAGGTGCTCCAGCGACGGCAGGAAGGCCTGGGCCCCTGAAGCCCACGGAGAATGTCAGCTCTCCCCTTTGCCCCGAGGCTTCCAGAGACTTCTCTAAGCTATTTCCTCAAGCTCTGGGATGAAGCCCCCTACTCCGTCTCCTGTTCCTGCCAGGGGACCTCTTGTTCTGCTCTGTGTATAAGCTGTGTGCAGGCACCGGCTGTCATGTGGACATGCGTGTCTGCCCAGGCAGGGGAACATGGTGCTCGGGCTTCCTGCCAGGAAGCCCCCAACCCATCACTCCCTGCACGGCCTGGGCGTTTGCACATTCCCTGCCCAAGGTCGGAGCAACCCCTCCCCCCCACCCCCCAGCATCCTGGGCCAGCTGCCTTCTGGACAGGCCCAGATCTCCGTTCTGCCTCTGGCTGGGGTGCCTTTCCTGGCCAGGTGGGTTCTGACAGTGCCTTCCCCCCGGGGCCTCCAAGAAGAATGTTTCTACATCTCTCCCTTTTTTATTGACTTATTAAAGAGCTTGTAGTGATGGGGCTGGACTGTGGTACCTGGGGATTGTCTGTGCCTTGGCTACGACTGCTCTGCTGCTCCTCAGGACCCCTCTGTCTGATGTTCTGGGTTCTCCCTGTCTCGCTGGCTTGAGGCTGGGGTATTACCTCACTCAGTTCTTACTTCAGGGAAACTGCCACTGTTGACCATGCGAGGAATTAAAACTTTGAGAATTGAAGTGACTTAGCCAAGGTCATGTGATTCTCATCTCGGTCTTCCTGGCTCTGAAGCCCATGATCATCTTCATTCCTTACTGTTTCCAGAATGGCCCAGAAGATTCTCAATATGGAGACTTCCAGACCCTCCTGCCTGGGGGTCCCCGGGCCTTCCCGGCCACCTGAGGTCTGGCTAACTTGTTTCAAAATCCCCTCTAGGAGGGCCCCAAAGTCGCTCTCCTCTAGGCTATCCCTGCTTTCCGTTGGACCACACCTTCATTCTGGCTGTCCCTCAGGGGAGTCCCTGCTGCTCTGCTCGATCAGCCCAGGTCTTGCCACCAGGACGCTCCTGAGCAGAGGTAGGAGAAGCAGCAGAGTGGAGACCCGGGAGTCTGTTCACTGGGCTTCTCCTGGCCAGGAGAATAGGACGCGTCTGGAAGCCTCATGGGGCCCTTTGTGCCCTTCATGGCTGCTCGCCTGGACTAGAGGCTCAGCACATCGGGGCCTGGTTTTTCCTGTTATGGAGGGGCTGCCTCCCCACTCCATGAGCCTGGGATTCCGCTGAGGCCCGATGGTGCCCCACAGATGCGCCAAGAAGGTTATCAGGTGCCCTCAGCCCAGACACGCCCTCACTCAGGAAGAGAAGAAGGGTGTGACTTCGGCGTACTCAGCGGTCGAGGTGCCTCCCCAGAAAAGTCAGAACAAGGGCCAGGCATCTGGCAGTGCGCCCACCCTGCCCCTGGGAACCTGAGGGCGTCAGATCAGAGGAACAGAGAGCGATGCCCGGCTTGGTGAGTGAGCAGTTGGGGACCCTGGGCCAGTCCCTTCCCCTTGGCCTCAGTTTCCCCGTGTGCATGGAGACCTAGACGCCAGCTCCTTCAGGACCCTGTGCCTTGGCCCTGGCAGGGGCCATTTCTTTAGTAGTTTGTCTTACAAGGGGGAGTCCTGGCTCCTGTGCCTGGAGGACCTCCTCTCAGCCCTGACTTGAGACATGTCCTAGGCTTGAGGTGAGGACTCTAGAACCCAAATTATTGGGGTGTCTGACCTGCAGCCAGAGAGCTTCTGGGGTTGGTGTGGGGGGAGGTTTCTGTCCACCTGCGTGTGACTCACTGCCTGATTTGGGTGTTTCTGTCACCCTGACTCCAAGTGCCCTACCTGTTCCCTCAAACCAGGTCCTGACCTGGCATTGGGTCTTTCTTGGGGCTGTCCTAGGATTGGCCTGGGTGGGGGGCTGCAGGCTCACCCCCGTGAGCTAGCCTGCCTCAGACCCAGGCCTCGAGGCCAGCATGACAGCCTGTGTCTCGGCCACATGTTGGCCTGTCTGTGTGGAGGGTTTTAGCTCCTTAGACTTTAGGGTCCCTGGGAGTCGCTGGGCCAGCTCTTGGTCTTCGGTGGGTTACAGAGGGAGAGCCAGGGGGACGGAGACCCCACCAAGGTCAGGGACCCAGGGCTGGGGAGGTGCCTGGGGGGCACAGCCGAGGGGAGGTGGCTCTACAGCTCAGGCGGGGCTGGTGTTCTGGGTGCCCTCAGCGGTCCCACACCGAAGTGAAGGCTCACAGAGCCGCCCTTTGTCCCTCCCAGGACCCGGAGGGTCCCAGGGCAAACATCAGTCAGTCTGCTCGGCCCGGCCCTTGCCCTCAACCCAGGGAGACCCGCGCACGCATCAACGCAGCAACTTCCGAGTCGCAGGCTTGAGTCCTGGACCTCAGCCCGGGTGCTCGTCCTCATCAAGATGGAGGCCTGTGTCTCGGGGGCCCCTGCCCCCGGCCCTCAGGGGAATGTGAAGGTGCTCTCGGCCCTGGCCACCAGCACGCCGTCTGGCAAGCACTGGCAGGATATAGACGGGTTCGGGGGCCCTTGGGTAGCATGAGGCTGGAGGTGAGCGAGCCAGCTCATTTCCTCTGCCCTCTGATCTCCATGCCCGTGCAGAGGAAGTGATCTCTTTTAAGTCCTCCTTGAAGATTTCTGAGCAAAACTTCATTCCCACCCCTGCTGGGCAAGGCCATGTGGTCCCATCTTGCTCCGAGCTCCAAAGCTGGTCTCGGGGGCAGTAATCGGTGTGCTGTCCGTGTCCCACCTGGCCCCCGGTTCTTTCCTGGGGGAGGGGGCCGGGCAGGGGGCACGAGGGGCAGAGGGCAGTCTGCAGCGGGCGGGGCACAGGGAAGCTGCTGCCGCTTCTGTGCATGGGGGGGGTGGGGGGCGCCATTCATTTGTGTGTTCAGCACAGGCTTTCAGCCCCCTGTTTACGCAAGGGAAGGGGGCACAGAGAGGTGAAGTGCCTTGCCCAAGGCCACACAGCTGGACATGGCCGAGGCAGAATTCAAGAAGGTTAACGGTACCCACAGGAGTCTGGGGAACTTCCCCTGGGGGCAAGGACACTTCAGCTGAACCCTGAGGGATGGAGATGATTTTGCAAGGGCCCTTGCAATCCCAGCTGTCTGCGTCGGTGGCTGGGTGTCTGCTGCCGGTGGCAACGAGTGCGTGGGCAGGCACGCGAGGCCTGGGCCTGGCTCCTCCCTGACCCTGGGCTGGGCCGGATGGAGCATTGAGCAATGGCCGTGGTTTGTGTCTCACTTTCCCAGGCGGGCCCTGGTGCTAGGGTTCCAGAGTCAAGGCTGCCCAGACAAGCGCCCAGAGCTTCCTTTCCTGGGAGGTCCACACGTTTGGGTGGCATGCATGTCCGTGTGCCCCAAGGGTCTGTGCGCAGGGCGGCAGCTCTCAATGCGGGCTCTCTGCAGACAGGTGTATTTTGGTTGGAGAGAATGTGTGTCTGTCTCCACTGTGTCATTGTGCCTGAGTGCGTACCTGTGCCTCTGGGTCTGGATATTTCTGACTGTAAGTACACGCGGTTATGCATGAATGTCAGCTGTGCCTGATCTCCGGCCGCCATGTGTCTGCCTGGAATGTGCATCTGTGCCCCGTGCCCCCGGAAGCATCTGAAATGTGCATTTCTGCAGGTCTGTGACTCAGTGGTTTTGCGTGTGTGTGTGTGTGCCGCTTCATCTTGTGCGTTTTTGTGCTCACTCGTGTACTGCTGCGTATCGTCCTGTCCACTTTGCTTCCCCAGACCACATCTCCTCATGCCTCCCTGCCTCTCCCTGACCTCAGAAGGCTGCTCCCCTGCAGTCGCCAGAGGAGTGGGGCTGTGCTGGGCCCCCACCCAACCCCAACCCTCCACCCAGCTGTTCTAGCCTCAGCCTCTCTGGTCGCCTCCCTCTTCACCCTCTCCTCTGTGCCTCCTCTTCTGTCTGCAGCCCGAAGCAAGCTCATTCCTGCTTTCTGTCCCATCGGCATGAGCCCCTCAGCTTGGGCTCCCTGCCATGACAGATCCACCCCTGCCCCCCAAGTCCTCTGCACACTTCCCAAGGCCCTGAATCAGTCCAGGCTTGTCCTCTTCTATTGCTGCCCCAGACTTCCCACTGGCCTCCCTCTTATGTGGCTGTGCTGGCACGTGTTCCCAGCACAACCCTAGCATGTCCCTCAGTCACTAAGCTTTAGCAGCGCCCCTTGCTCAGAGATCGGCCTTGGAGACCCACCTGCTCCAGCTCTCCTGGCCACCCTAGGCCCTGTGCTTGCTCTCTCCCAAAGCCAGGAGTGTCTCTGGGCCCTGCCCTGAGCTGGCCCTTTAAGATGAAGTGAGTCTGTTCTAGTCTACAGAAGAGCCCGGGACACAAGCTGTCCAGGCAGTAACACCAGAGGGTCGAGGGGGGGGGGTCTGCCGTGTTCCTGCCTCTTTGCAGCTGATTCACTGCTGTCCCACCTCTTGGTTTTCCTGGGGTTGCTGTGTCTTTAAGCTCTGCCTTTAAAAACATTTTTTAGGGGCCTCCCTGGTGGCGCAGGAGGTTAAGACCTGGCCTGCGAGGCTGTCCGCAGCCTCCACAGCATGAGTTTATCCCCAGCCTGCCAGGGAGCAACCCACATGGCGCAGCAGACCTCTCCTGTCTCGCCCACTGCTCCCCGCAGCAGTGTACTTTGGTCAATCTGCCAGTTCTGTTCCCCACTGTCTCTGGTGGATCCTCTCACCCCCATACCTCTGGCCTGTACCCCCGCTCTTATATGCATAAATTAAAAAAATAAATCTTTTTAAAAAAACATTTTTAAGGTAGAATTTCAATAATGGAATGCCCCTCCCCACCCCCCTCCTTCCAGCCCCTGGTGACCACCAACCTGCCTTCCATGGGTCAGCCTATTCTGGACATTTCATATCCATGGAATCCTTATGACTTCTGGCATCACGCAAACTGTCTTGAGGTAGCGGGTGTCAACTACATTCCTTTTTAGGGCTGAATAGCATTCCTTTCTCCATTATCTGTTGATGGATATTTGGGTTGTTCCAACCTGCTGGCTATTAAGCTCTGCCTTAGTAACTGGGGGGGGGGGTGCTCAGGATTTGTGTTTAATGCCAAGTTGTGCTGCTTCTCTTCCTGACATGCTTGTTTTGTGGATGTGGTGATCTGGCCCCTGCCTGTCGTGCACTGTACCCGTTGAATGGCTAACAGCAGGCTCTCGGACCGAGCAAGTGTTGGTGGCTTTTCTCCCACATGGCGCAGCAGACCCCTCCTGTCCCTCCTGCTGCTCCCCTCAGCAGTGTACTTCGGTCAATCTGCCAGTTCTGTTTGCAGGATTTTTTTTTCCATATCAAGGTGAACACTCAATTTCTTTGGTGTCTCCCCAAAAACAAGAGAGGGAAGAGGCAAGTCACGCACAGTGCCAGTCCCTACTCATTTCCTGCAGGCCTGTGATTGGCACCCCTGCCAGTGAGTCCTGCCTCTGTGTCTCAGGCTTCTGCATCTTTCTCCAGTTGCCTTTTCTGTTGAGCTCTTGCTGCACTTGCTGTGCCTGGGCCGCGGGCACCAAGAGAAGGCACTGAGCCCATCCCACTTCCTCCATGCTTGCCACCCCTCCTACCCCCATCCTCATGCTTGTGCAGGATGAAAGATTCCCCGCTGCGAGTGCCGGGAAACCAACTCATCCAGCAGACAAGAGACTCGCATCATGTCCTGTGTAGCTGAGACACGCCTTGTGGTTGGCCCTGGCACTCTGCAAGGACTGGGGTGCTCGGGGAAATTACTGTGCTTCCCTGGCTGCACTGGTCATGTTCTTCACATTTGGCAGGCCCCCACCCCTGCCTTATGGGCTTGAGGAAGGTGTGGCTTTTTTTCTTTTTTTTCTTTGCGTAGAAGAACTAGGGTATAGGCCAGAGGTGCTGGGGATGAGAGGATTCACCAGAGACAGAGTGGGGAGGGGAACAGGCGGATCCACTGAAACATACTGCTGAGGGGAGCAGCGGGTGAGACAGGAGAGGTCTGGTGTGCCATGTGGGTAGCTCCCTGGCCGGGGATCGAACTCAGGCTGTAGCAGTGATAGTGCTGAGACTTAACCCCCAGGCCACCAGGGAGGCCTGAGGAAGGTGGCCTTTTGAAGTGCTGAATAGGCACTACTGCTCAGAAACCCCTGCCACCTGAGGGAGGCCTGTCTCTTGGATCTGACCCAGTCTTGAGTGAGGGTTCTGATTGGTCCTGCACAGGATGTGGGTACGCTGCTAGGAACTGGGATACCACCAGGGTCAGGCCCCTCTCCTGTGGCCTGGGGTAGGAAATGGCAGCCTGACAAATAGGCCTTCCAGATCCCTCCAAGTCAAGCTGAATGTTGACTTGTTGGTGTAATTCGCCTTCAAAACCTTGGTTATCAAAAGGCATTCAAAGCTAATTCACTCGCCTGCTGGCCTTGTCGTTCCTGCCAACATAGCCCCATATCTGGCCTGGTCCCTGCATATAGTGTAAGTTCCTCAAATATGGCTGAACAGGGGCTGAAGAGATGTTGATTTGTCCGTTCTTGCAGAAGGTGCCCGTGGCCCCCTCTGTGAAGATGGCCCCCTCCCGAGGCAGGCTGTCAGGTGCTGCTTCTGTGGAATTTTTTCTGAAGTGGATTCTTTAAAGGAAGCATGAGAAATGCCTTGGCTTTTTCTTTTTTCATCTCATTTTCCTGGAAAGTGTTGAAATCTGCAGCGGCTGAAAGAATAAAATTTGAATTTGCTTTAGAAAAAATATCATAAAGGAAAAAGTCAGCGTCTTTAAAATCCAGGCTTCCCCAAAAAGAGATCA